GGGTGTAGAGGGAAGATTTTTGGCTCTTACTGGTTGGTTGGCATGGGCTTTGTCATGTGTGAGGGAACTGGAGTGGGGAGTGTGGTGATTTGGGCAAGAAACTTAGAAATTGTTAATTTTACTGTGTTAAAACTCTTTTAACAGTTTGAATTGTATTGCAGAAGTCTGTTATCTTTGCTGTAGCATAGACAGGTAGTGGTGGAGGGGACTGATGTGGTGATGTAGTGACTGATGGTGATTGGCTTGAGGAAAAAATCCATCAGGATGTGGCTGAGCTTGGAAATCTCCCGGGGGATGCTCCAGCAGAGAGGTGTTCATTTGTCTGCTTCGTTTTCTCCAGATGATATTTCCCCGATCAAGCTGAGCTTGGGCTTGCAGGGGTGAGCAGGGCTCTCCTTGTTCCTGGTTTGGAGGCTGGGACAGGAGCAGGGACAGGGAAGGCAGGAGGTGCCCACTGGGACATTCAGGGACAGTGAGGGATCATCCCAGGCAGGGACAGTCCCCAGGCAGGCTGGGCACTGCGAGGGCACCTCTTAATTTTGGTATTCTTTGCCCCTCCAGCTCCTTCACACCCTGGGATCTGATGTTAACAGCTCTGTCCCCTGCCCTTCTTTTGCAATCTGGAGGTTTCCCCGTGCCTGTGTTAGCCAGGTGCTGTGCACTGGGGTCACGTTGCTGCAGTTGTGTTCTCAGCCAGTGCTTGCAGATAACCTGGGGCCTTGCCAAGGAAAATGAGCAGTGTGGATTGAACCCTGAGCTGGCCTTCCCAAACGTGTCTGCAATGAATAGAAGATCAGATCAGCTGGGAGGAAAGCTTTCTTCTGCTTTAGCTTAGGACATGAGCTGCCTCATGTGTACTCGTTACAAAAAAGTGTTTTCACTTGGAAATTATTATTGGGTCCAAGCTGCCTCAGAGCACCAGGCTGGGGATAAAGATTCCAGCGTGGCACACATCCATGTGCTAAATGAGCAGAGCTCTGGGTTTGAGGCTGCATGATGATTTTCTGGTCCTGGTGCATCTGTGTGGCAGTTGGGGTCAGTGCTGGGATTCCAGATTTCCATGTCACTAGTCACAGGTGGTTTTAGGGGTGCTCACACTTAGATTGGAGCTGCAGTGGGGTTCTTCCCATGGTTAAGCTGTTCTGACTTCACTTGTTAGGGAAAAGCTCCATTTGCTGCTTTCTTACAGTGGGAACTGCAGCAGTTTTGCTGATGGCTAATGTGGGTGGTGTGTTTTCAATGAAAGGAAAATGACTTTCATAGCTGGAAACTTGAGAGGGAAGGGCTGAGGATTTGAGTGTAAAATCAGTGTATTCCTCTCTTCTGATCAGGGCCAGTGGTTGGTGCTGCTGCTAAATCTCCCTGAGCACTTGAAAGTGATTTTATTTCTGGGGCAGGTGCTGGGGAGAGGACAGCAGGGTTTATCCCAGCTCTGCACTGGCAGTGTGCAGGACAACACCTGTGAGCTGTCCCCACGTGCAGGGAGGTTTCTGTTTCACTTCCTGCCAGAAGGAACCTCTCTGAAGTGGAAATAACCCCCAAATCTGCCCTGTGCTTCCTACCCAGCTCTGTCCCACTGGAATTCCTGTTGGAAGGGAATGGCAGGGGCTGTTATTGAGTGAGGGAAGGTTGCATCCCTCAGAAGCAAACATAAATCAAAAATACAACAATCACAGCTGGTGAAAAAGAAATCTTAGAGCTTTGTTGTAAGCATAAGGCAGATTTCTCACTCTGCTTTCTGCTGAGTATTCTCAGTGCAAGTGTGAGGGCAAACTACCCTACACAGCTGTGTCTCTACATGGTTTTGTTCTGAAGGTAAAAACCGTTCCTCAGTCTGTGCTGAAAGAGAAACTTTCAGATTTCTGTGAATAATGGAGGAAAAACCCATTAATACAAGGGCTGGGGAGCCTTTTAAAGAGAGCACATGCCAGGCTTGCTCTGCTTCAGGCTTTCAACTTGTGCAGGATACCAGGCCAAATTAATACAGTTTCTGATATGTGTGGAGTTTTTCCTCTTTGATATTTTTTAAAGACAGTTATTTTTATTTTTTAAACCATAATCTGTACGTATTTGATGTGCAGCTGAGCTGAAGGAGGAGTAACCTTCCTGTCTGCAAGTGCAGATGTGGGCCTGACCCTGTCAGACACCTACAGAGATCATCCCTCCAGGAAGAGAGATCCACTCCCATGCATAAAATGAATGAATTTTTCCTTCTGTCCAAGTCCTAGTGGACTCTTGGTACCATCACGCTCCTGGTGAAGAAGACCTTAATTAGTAGATTTCAATCAGTGTTTTCTGGAAGGTGCTTGGCTCTTCTGCAGGACCTGGGGACTCCTGGTCTGTCAGGGCTCCTCAGGACACCTTGTTAGAGAGGGGCAGAGGAAAGTGGAGTGGGACCTCAGGGTTTCTGTGGCCTGGCTTCTCCTGCAGCTCATTAACATCAGCTGCACTGTGACAGCTGAACACTTTATCCTCTGAAGGTAGCAGGAAGATTAAGGAAAACTCTCATTTCAGAGTTGCCAGAAGGCTTTATAAGGGATATATTTTAAACAAGCCTCCCAGTAGTGTTTAAAGAAATTGGAAGGGGAAAAGCAGTTTTAACAGGGATTAAATGGAGCAGCTGGGCATTAGAGGCAGCAGATCTTGTCTGCCTAAATCATCCAAATGTACAGCCATTGCCAAACACAAACACAGCCAAACCCCCATCCTTCAATCTGGGATAAAAACATTTCATAAACTGACTGGCACTGCTGGCTTCACTAAAAGGTTTGGTTTTTGGAACGGGGGGAGCTTTCCAAAAGTTCTCACTAAGAGTTATTGTGTGCAAATCAGCCACAGCCACAGCTCTGGTCCTGTCCAAGTGTCCTTGGGAACTTGGGCTGCCCATGGCTGCTCCACTGAAGCTCCCATCACATCCTCTGGCGTTTCTGGATCAAAGCAATAGTGATAAACACTGAATTCTCCAAATTTAGCTTTGCTCAGGAGATCTTGGGTAAAATGTGTCATTGCTGGCAGCAGCTCTTCCTGCCCGGAGCTGCGAGCTGATGAGCTGCTGACACAGCCAAAGTTGTCCCAGTGCTGCAGGGCCACTGGGTTTGTGTTCCCTCCTGCAGAGGATGCTCTTCCTCTTGTTCCCCCAAATGGAAAATGGCTTTAACACCAGCCCAGGGGCTGGGAGTGGAGCTGGTGGCGGCTGCTGTGGGTGTGTGGTGACTCCTGTGTGGTGCACAGGGGCTCAGAGAGGTCCGTGGCTTTGGTGGTGCTATTCCCATGCACTCTGCTCCTCTGGTCTGTTTTAGAGGTTGGAAGACTCCCCTTCTTCTGGAAGAAAAAGGGGAAGGAGTGGGGGAAGAGAAATTCAGCAATTTAATATGCTTCAGTGTTCCGGCATGTCCTTCCCCCCTTCCTAAACATGAAAAATATCAGTGAGTTTCCCTTTGCCCCTGAGGGAAGAAAAAGGAGTCTCCAGCTGGAATTCAGGAAGGTCTGCTGAAGGAAGGAGTGGTGTCATGGGCTTGGGGTGATCCCTCTGGAGCACAAGTGCTGTGCTGAGAGTGAACAGCCGGTTCATGCACACTTAAACTGTCCTGAGCCACCACCCTCCCCAATGTTTCTTCATCCCTTCCACGTGGGAGAGAAGCACAGGAAAGAAAAAAGCACAAAACATTGAAAAAGGAGAATTACAAATCCGAAGGTACATTTTGTCCCTTGTAAAAAGAGGGCACTGCTTTTCTTCCTGCAGTTTTAATATTGCCTGCAATAATGGCTATATTTTATTTTCAAGGTGCGTTTTAAGCATGGGGTCAGCAGTAAGGTTGGATGATCCTGCAGTCCTGTGCCTGGCAGTGATGCTGTTTCAGAGGAATGTTTTTCCCCTCTTAGACTTCTTCAGACAATTGCCCAACTGTTGGAAAAAAGCTAGTGCTGCCTGAGGGGAGGAGGAGGAGGTGGAAATGTTGCTGCCCAACTGCAGCACTGCACACCAGGGAAGCCTCAGCAGGTCGAGCACATGCAGCTCTTCAGTGAGGAAGAGCCTCTGATCTTGTCCTGGGAGAGGGGCTCTGGCTCCTGGATCTGTTTCCCCATCCCAGCCCTGAGATGCCCGTGGTGGCCTCAGGTGTGTTTTGCAAGGTGTTGAGCCCACGGTCTGGCAGCGCCGTCACATCCGTGTCTGTCCCTGGGGCTGGGCTCCTCCAGAGCTCTGGCTCTGCTCATGTGGCTCTCTGAAAACAGCCCCCAGTGTTTGGGTTACTCCTCAAGTTCTGACAGTCACTGATGAGCTCTTCTCCAGCGTGAGAATGCAGTGAGGTAGGGGAAGGGCTTGAGTTCTGCTTCCACATCCTTTCTTTTGGGCTGCTCAGCTCAAGGTGCTTCTGCTGCTGGGGAGGAAGAGCTGTTGACCATGGAATTCAGTTGTTCCTGCTCCTTTCAGGCAGGACACTGAACTCCTGGGGGTTGTGCCTGAGTTTCCTTGGAGAAGCTGTCCTGAAGCTGTCCTGGTCCCTTTGTGCTGAGGTTTCCAAGGACAACGTTTGACTCCTCACTGTGCTTGTTGCCCCATTTCTCTTGCATTTCTCTGATTTATTTTAGTTGTCTCCACAGTTGTGCCCACTTTCCTCAGTAAATGAGAGGGAAGTTGGTATTTTAATTTTCCCTGGAAATGAGTTCCTTTCATGGCACTTGTGCACAATAAAACACATGTGTATCATCTCCATTTCTCTCAGAGAGTAAGAGAAAAAAGTCTTCTGTGGGTTTTTGCATTTAGTAATCAAAACCCCTCTTAGCAAGCAGCTCTGGCTCTTGGATTTGCTGTTTCCAGCTGTTGAATTCCTTGCAGGACTAACACAGGCAGGACTCTGCCCATGAGGGCTCCAGGAACCCGCTGTGGTGACAGCAGCAAGCAGCCCCTGGAGCCTGCAGGCCAGGCAGCTCCTCCAGGGGTGCTGAGCCCTGCCTGGGCTGCAAGTGATGCCTTAAGCTTTGCCTTTCATATTTTCCAGATTCTGCACTGCTTTGGTACCTAACTCTGATCTCCACACAAAGTGTCAGCAAGGTCTCCTCACAGCTCAGGCACACACAACAATCCTTCTCCAGCCCCACAGCCAAGGACAGCGCTGCAGCTCCAGGCCCAAAAAGTGCAACCAGCAGGGAATTGAGGAGAGCAACCTGGGAGGATGGGACTGCATCACCTGCAGCTGGAATTGCACAATTCAGCCCAACTGGAAATGGACCAGAACTGATCCAAGGGTGAAACTCCTGAGCCAGGGCCCATCCTGGCTGCAGCCAGGGCTGGGCTCTTGCAGTGCCCAAGGTGCATCCTTGGAAGGGCTTTTAATAAATCCCTGCTTTATTCCTTTAACCCTGCCCAGCCTCTGCTCCAGGAGCCTCTCCAGGCATCAGAAGAGCTGAATTCCTTGCCGAGAGCTCTCGGTGTGCACAGGAAGGGGAGGCTGCCCTGGAAGCGGATCCCAGCGCTGCATTCCTCCAGCTACTCCCCATGGGCGCTGCTGGGATGATGGATATCTCAGCATCTTTGTTCTTTGTTTTCCTTCTAACACTGGCAGAGCTTAAATCACAGCAAGAGAGGGGCTGACACGTCTCCAGTTACACAAACAAGTGGTGCTGCTCTCGGCAGAGACCAGGAGTGTGGCGGGAGAGGAGCACCGAGCTCGGGTGCTGCTCCTCGGGAAGGGTTCAGTGACAGGGCTGTGAGGCTTGGAGCTATTGCAGGAATGGGGATGGGGCTGCAGGGCCTGGGATGCTTTCCAGGAACAGCCTCACGAGGAGCTTATCACTGTGTGGTGTTTGGGATGGATCCTGACAAAATATACTGCGTGTTGTCAGACGCTTCACTAAAAGAAAATAGAAGCTGTTGGCTTACCTTTGTGCTTCTGCTGCTTCTTTCTCTTAAAATAATAATTCTCAGGGCAATATTAATTTGTTCCAGCTTCCATGGAGCAATCCCCCGTCTCCCCAAACCTCAACAAGAATAAATACGACTGCGTAGGTGCAGCCTCACCAGAGGAGGAGGTCTCAAGTTGCACATTAATGTCAGCTTCTCAGCAGTAGCCTGTGAATGTAGAGGAGCCCAAGCTGTGCTATCAGAGATGCTCTCTCCTGTACACGCAGGAGCAGCTCTGTTGTGGTCTGGTTCTTGCGTTCCTGCCTTGCCCAAGGACTCACTGTGTGGTTTTGGGCAGGGCTCTCCACCTTGCCCTTTGTTTCTAGGCCCCTCAAAGGTATTTCCCCTGGGATGGTGCTGGTGAACCTGAGCTGCTCTTCCCTGAAAGCTGGTTTGCTGAGAGCTGTGGGATCTTTGATGATTCCTCTTGCCAGATCCTTCCTGCTTTCTTCAGCGTGGTTTAGGTCACGGTATCACGAGGGTGGAGTTCCTGAGAAGTTGTGAGGATGAAGCCTTGAGTTTGCTTTTGATCCACTGAGCTGCTGCAATGGGCTGAGCATGTCCTGAGCCAGTCCCAAACCTGACCAGATCTCTGCTGGTTTGATGGGGAGAGAAAATGAGGTGGAGCAGGTGACAACTGTGCCTGGGGCCAAGACAAGTCACTGCACCTGGACACAGATGTGTGAAAAATGCTCTCTGAACTTTCTGCTTCTTGTTTTGTCTTGTTCTGTATTCTTCAGAAGAATAAATTGGAGAAGAGGAAGGTGCAGAGAAGAAGTGAGGGCTGTGGAGGTCAGTGGGAAAGCACAGAGAGGGCTCTGATGTCTGGGCTGTGTGGTCTGGCCAGCTGGGGATGGATTGCAGATAATGGTTTGCTTTCTGTTCGTGTTTTGGCAGTGAAATATTGGGGAGGAAAAAATCTACTGAAGCTGAAGAAGAATATTGCTTCAAGAAAAAATGGGAATGAAGTGACCATAAGTAGTAGAGATGAGAAAATTACTTTCCTTTTTTTCTTTTTTAACTATGAGATGAAAATTTCCAAAGGAGCTTCCAGAAAAAACGAGCAAAAATTTATCAGTTTTTAAAGTGGAGTTCAGATTAGTAAAAAATTCGTGACTTGACAGGGAGGGAACTGGCCTGGATCTGTAGATCTTTCTGGGGTTTCCATCTGTGAATATGTGCTGCTATTTCAGAGTAATAAAACCAGCTAAACTGTGTTTGAAACTGATTATTTAATGTATAATGCACCATCAACGAAAAACCAGCTGTATTTTGAATCTAGAGTGGCAAACCCAAGTGTCAATTATTTTCATTCTTTCATTCTATGGAAAGATCTTACTATCAAAAAATTATCAGAAGATCTCTGTGTATTCTGAGAGAGCCACTGGACTGTGTGAGGCACAAAGATTCATGCAGGGAAGGAACCTGCAGTCCAGAAGAAGGAGGAAATCTGCCCAGTCTGGTCACCAGCACTGGGAGGGTGAGGGAGATTACCATTAATAATTTCTAAACTTCATGAGCATACATTATGCTGCTAATTTTTTCCTGCTGCTGAATTCATGTCAATGTTGAAAGTATAAACAATCCCCTGAATAAAATTGTGTTTGGTTTGCCTTGTCCCACGGATTAACAAATCTGATTACTGCATTTAAATTTAATGCCCCAAAAATTCCCTAAATGAATGATTCAGTGTGAGGCCATGAGCAGATGTAATTATCTATGAAAACTAATGAATCATGTCCTTAGGAGAGTTCTCCTTGCAGCTGTCTCCAATTAATCCGTCCGTCAGTGCTGGAGTAACGAGTCCCGGGGTAAGGTACTGCCACAGCTCTGCTCTGCCCCAGCCACAAGGGGAAGGAGGAGGTTTGGTTTTAGGTTTGTATTAGGTATTTAGGTTTGTATTAGGTATTTAGGTTTGTTTTAGGCTTTTAGGTTGTATTTCTGGAAAATACAGAGCCCTGAGAACGTGTTTGGCCAATGCTCATGTGAGCGGTGTTTGACTTGACTGTGTCCCTTTTGTCTCTCCCTGACCAGCGAGGCGGTTACAGAAGTGAGTTTGGGGGGGGATTCCAAGCTTTTCCCTGCTGTTTTTGTCTGTCAGGGCTCTGAGCTGGGATCAGGGTGTTCACATGGGAGGTTTATCTGAGCAGCCTCTTTTTCTGCAAGTCACAGTTTGCTCAGGGAGCTCTGGTACTACAGGAGTGGATGGAGGAGCTTTTCCCCTCTCCAGATAAGTGGCAGAGGGTGTTGAGTCTTTAACAAACAGCTCAAATGTCCTGGAAACAGCTGAGTGAAAGGAGTTGAGTATTAAAGGAAGCTTCCAAAAGCCTGGGGAGGAGGGATTTCCTCTTGTCCAAGTTTCAGTGTTTGGTGGCCCTGTGGCAGCTGGTCCTTGCCTCTGCACCAGGTCAGTGTGCTCAATGATTTTCATGTTCATTATTCAGTGTGTCAATGGTTGAAGCTTTCCCTGGCTGGGGATAAGGTACCAAGAGGGTTCCATGCCAGGTAGAGATGTGGAGCAGTGCTAAGTCAGTGTCTGCAGTTTGTGCAGCACAAACCAAGGGATGCCCAGCACTGCTGTCAGTGCTGGAAATGTGTTGGAGTTTAACTGTGTGCCTGCTGTGCACCTGAGAACTGCTGAAAATGGTGTGAAAATAAATCCCATGGTAGTTTTCCCTGTTGCAGAATAAGGATTTTGGAGGGAAGAAAGACCAAATCCCTCACCTGAAGGAGGGATGTGGCTCAGCTTCTCAGGTTAGTGGGGACAGAGACCATGGGTGCAAGAAATCTTTTCCTGCATTGTGTTCCCAATCTCCGTGGATGTGGGGAGCTGCATGGAGGAGTGTGGGGTGCAGATGTGTGCAGGAGGAGAGGGGGGTACCCCAGTCCCTGCAGAGAGGGAAGGGCAGGCTCAGCGTGGCAGCTGCTCCTGCCTGACCACAGCCCAGGCAGATTTGTTGTTGCAGGGAGCCTGGCTCATTTGAAGTGGTTCCCCTGCTCGAGCAGAACTGGCTGGTTCCTTGTACAAACGGAGCTCCTGCTGCGAGTGGAGCCGTTCCACCTCAGGCTCACAATAACATTGGCTCTGTCCCGCATTGTGGATGCATTGATGGGATCTCCTGCGAGCACTGCCTCGCTTAAAACCAGGATTAAGAGGGAAACAGAGCAGATTGCAGGGTATTAACAACTTGTTCACATTCCTGGCGCGGTGGGAAGGGACGGAGGAGTCGGACTGCTGGGATTCCTGATGGGGAGTGCTGGCTTTGGGGTGCTGCTGGGATTCCTGATGGGGAGTGCTGGCTTTGGGGTGCTGCTGGCCACGCACGGTCCCAGCCCAGCGCTGCCCTTGGGACGTGAGGCATCCCTGGGCTTTGGGACACCTGTAATTGCAATTAGCAGCAAGGAAACAGAAAGCCACCAGGCTGGAGGAAGAGGGGAGAGCTGGAGGGACGTGCTGGAGTGGGGAGGTGGGTGTGAGCAGCGTGGCCTCTCCTCGGCATGAGGAGCGTTGTAAAAACTCCCGAGTTCCTTCTCAGCCTGTCCTGGTGATCAAAGCCAGGCAAAACGGGATTTTCCTGTGCTCTTAGGGGGACTTCCTATAAAAGGGCTGTGCCAGGTTTGTTTATGAAAGTGCAAACCTGGAGAATTGCAGAGAGCAGCAGCTGACAAAGGAGAGGCAGTTTTGGCTTTTCCCAGTGAGAGTGCGCTCGCAGATCCACGGACGGCGTGACCCCAAAAACAACTGGAGTTGCTGTGCATGGAGAGGGAGCTGGTTTGTTGTACCACCTGTACTGCACTGTGTTCTCTTAGCTATTTTAATAGCTAATTAATCTTGATTAGCTTGGATTTAAGAGTGTTTTTTTCTCTTTTGGCACATATGTGCAACCTATTATATCATAAATCCCACGCATTTTCGGCAAATGCCGTCCTGATTGTTCCCTACAGCACAGCATCCTACTAGGGAAACATCCAAGGTCAGGAACTTGGATTCTTTAACCACTGTATTCGAGGAAGTCGATTTATTGTTCTGTCACAGCAGAACAGGGTGATTTCTTTTGGACCTACATCACATTGGCAGCCAATCTGGAGAGGTCAGAATCGCCTTCACGCTGGAGGGGCTGTGGGCACATTAATCTGTCTTTGTAAATGAACTGGGGCACCCCACAGATGCCAGCACAGGGCATTTCTGAGTGTTTACTGCTATATTCCTCCAGAAGCAGGAATTATTTTTGTGCACTCAGTGTTTGACCTGTGTCTCATATCCTAAAATCGATACAAGTAGTCCTTGTCCTTTTTCCTTGTGTCTCTTAAAGGGTTTAAAGGAGTTTGCTTGGGGCTGGAGGAAGTGACCTTCATATCAAATAATCCTGACGTGGCGACTTGGGCTTTGGGTAGCTTTCTTGTGGCTATTTGTGCTGTGAAAGCTGAATAAAAAATTTGCAACTGAAAGTCTTAAAAAGTGAATTAGGGAAGTGTTGACTCCAAAGAGCCATTAGCATGTCCTCAGCGTGGGATGTGCCTTGTTTTTCCTTGCTGCTTAATGTATAGCTGTGTCTGACCTTTTCCCCAGGTTGTTTTGATGGGCCTGTGAAGGAGATGTCAGAAGGAAAATGTGAATTAAAACATCTTGCATCAGGGAATGACTTTCCTGCTCTTCTCCAAAAGGGAAAAAAACCCAAAAATAAAAGAAGAGGGAGGGTTCACTCTTAGCTTGCCATCTGCAATACTTTTAGCTTCTGTTTCCTCTCGTTTTGTTGATAGCATTTTAATTTTTTCAGGGTGTGGTGCTGGGGGCAGTGTGTGTGTGTGCGTCCTGCTCCGTGTCCCTGCAGGAGCTCTGGAGGTGCTCTGAGCAGCATCACAGCAGCACTGGGTTCCTTGTAAAACTCCTTCAGCCTCAGCAGCTGAGTGTTCTCTGAGGTGGGATTCCCTCCCCAGGTAAAACACAGCTTATTTCAAACTTCTTGTTAAGTTTAAGTAGCTAAACCAAACTTTGTAGACGTTCCAGTTCTCAAATCTCTCTGTGGTTGGAGCTCGGAAGCTTTTTATTTTCTTTTTCAGAAATCTTTGGAGCGTTCTTTCCTTCCTTACAGTCTGTATCAGGTTTTTTTGAGTGCACAGTGCTGATGAGTGGTTTTCTGATCAGGAGCTGCTGGGTTTAGGGCTCCTGACAGGCTCCTGGGTGGTGCCTGGCTGCAGGGCTGTTGTACAGCTCAGCCCTTTCACAAGCAGAGTGGCCTTGTGGTCATGTTGACAGCTTGACACTGCCATGGCAGTGATTTGTTAAAGCTTCCTCAAACACCCCTGTGAGCAGAGCACACAAAGGGGAAGCATGGGCAGGACCTCCCGGAACGAATTGGGATTTGAGAGGAGGCTGGGCTGGGAGATCCCTGCGGATGCTGGAGCTGGGAGAGGCGTGCTTGGCACCAGCACCACCACGCTTGTGTAACAGAGATGCTCCATTCATCTGAAGTTTGTGTTGCAAAATAAACTTAGGAGTACTTGGTTTATCCTGTAGCAAACCACAGCCCAGGAGAGAAGACTCTTAATGGGCCAGAGGGGAGAATACCGGGAGTGTGGGGTGGGAGGACACTTAAAACAGGTGGGAGCTTTAGAAGGGGATCCTGAAGTGAAGAGAGAGCTCTGAAGCGCTGGGGGTGGAGCAGTCCTGGGCACTGGTGGGTGCAGGAGGGCTGTGCCCAGCCTGGGGAGCTGTGGGTGCTGCTGGCACAGCTCCCTGCTCCTGTTCAGGGTGGGCAGCACTCGCTCTGAAATGAAACATCCATGGCACAAGCACAGGCAGAGCAGGACAGGAGGGAGCTGCTCTGGGAAGGAAACATGACATCAGGGTTTGAATGAAAAGTGTGACAAACATGCACAGAGTTCTGCAGCAGCTCTGGAGAGCTGCTGGCACAGGGCAGCACCAGCATCCTTGGCTGCGGTGGGACTTGGAGTCAGGAGTAACCCAGGCAGGAAAATGGATTTAATACAGAGTGGATCTGTGCTGGGGGCAGAGGATCAAGTGCTGTCAGCCCCTTTCTGGTCTAGAAAGTGCTAAATTCTGTTACTGTTTCTGGAATGTGGGACACTGGTCACAGCAGCCAGTCACTGGCAGGCACAGCACACATCAGGGAGTTCCTCAGTGGTGCTGCTCAAAGGCGTTTTTTGGTGTTGAATGCAGAGCTGGCAGAACAAATGGCTGTGAGTGCAGCTCCTCACAGCTGTGACAGCCCTGCCCCTTGTGTCCCCGCCTGGAGCATCTGCTGGGACATCCTGGAAGCTGTGTTTTCTGTGACAGCTTACATGGGACAAATATTCATTTATGGGAGGTTATTCACGATCCTAAGAACATTGCCCATTTCCTCAGCTCCTGGTGTGCAGCACAAGATGAAGGTGCATTGCTGGTGTTCCCCAAATAATGCAGCATCACACCACAGCCAACAAACACCATCCCTGCAGCATCTCACCAGAGCCCTGTGACTGCAGTGGGATTTGGGGCTGATTTCTGTACCCCAGAGCTGCTCCAGGGAGTGGGGGATTTGTGCTCCACTTGCTGTGGGCAGTGCAAGGTGTCCCAGAGGCGGTGGCCAGCCGGTCACTCAGCTCCTGCCAGCTGTA